TGCAATGGGATCGCTCGCGCGTGCTCACTTCACTCACGCAGGTGCCTTGCTTCTGCGCACGCGCCTTCTGCGCACTTCTGTGCATGAGCAGATTGTTTCCGATGACGTCAGGGTCAGTGGACGGAACCTCCCGCCGGTTTTACTACCGGTTCTATAGAACCAGTCGGAACCGGGGGGCAACCCACCCCTGGTTCATATTTATGACGGGTGTGGTGTCCCAGGGTCACGCGATCTGCTTTTTGCGACCGGACACGCAAAGTCAACGGGGAAGCCAGATTCACTTCACGCAACCCGTGTGACCAGAGGTGGGACTCGCATAATTTACCTACCGGTTCGCCCAGCACCGAAAATGTGACTGCATGTGCATGTGCCCAGCCTTCCGCGCATATGTTTTGCTCGCGCATGTGCCTTCTGCATATGTGCCTGGCCTCAAAAATGTGCCTAAAGAGGACAGCATAGAGCCGTGGTGGCGAACCTATGGCACGTGTGCCACAGGTGGCATGCAGAGTCATACCTGAGGGCACGCGAGCTCGGCTCCGGCGTGCATGTACGCACTGGCCGGCTGATTTTCGGGCCTTCTGGGCCCACCGGAAGTAGGGAAACAGGTTGTTTCCTGCCTCCGGAGGGCCTGTGTGTGTGTGGGATAGGCCCGTTTTTCTCTCTCCCCAGGTTCCAGGAGCCTGGGGAGGACGAAAACGGCCTTCCCCACCCACCCGGAGGCCTTCCAGAGCCCAGAAACGGCCAACTTCCTAGAAAGCCTCAGGAGCCTGGGAAGGGCAAAAAACGGGCCTGCTGGGCCCACCGTCCCATCACGTGCCAAAAGCAGGGGGAGCGCGGGGGGTCGCGTGCACATGCATGGGGGATGGGGCGCATAGAATTATGGGTGTGGGCAGGCATGCCCGCACCCTCCCGCCCGCAGCCCCCTTGCTTTTGGCACATGATGGCAAAAAGGTGGATAGACCAACCCGTGATTTCTGCTACCATTTCACCCGAACCGGTCCGAACCCAGCTCTGCGTATGACTGACTTAAGCGCCACAGTGATTCCCTTAACCCCATCCGCAAGAAAGGTCGTAAAACGGGCCAAAGCTCACTTAACATCTGTTTCGCTTAGCAACAGATGTTTTGGCCTCAATTGTGGTCGTATATCGAGGACTCCCTGTAGCTGATGGGCCACAAAATTTAGGGGGTGAAAACTCGCTCCCCACTTAACTCTTAACTCCAAATCCTCCCTAGATCTGAAACCAGAAAGCCAAATGCTGCAATCCTTGGTCTCTAAAGGTTTACCACAGGGCCTGCAACATTGGCTTTGTTGGCTGCCGACGATGGGACTTGTAGTTGAGGAAGGCTGGATAAGTAACTGCTGTGCTTCAGAGGGAAAAAAAAATCTCTTATCTGAGACTTTGAGTTTTATCAAGCCGGCCTACCAGTTATCTCTCCCAGTCCAACCCACTCCTCTCAGCTGGCTGGTTAACTGATTCAGCTCCCTGTCTTTGCTGAGGGATTGCTTCACAATTCAGAATGACTCAGAAACGGGAAGAAATCCAAGATAAAAGTCCAGGACTTTGCAGGCAGGACTTGAAGTCTACAAGTAGCTTCCCTCCATCTTTGATGGGACCAAAACAAACACATTCAAGAGCTGCTTTGGGGGAAGAAGATCCAAGACCGAGTGGCTGTGGTTTCCGACGTCCCGATATAGTCAGCTGGTGCCATCGCTGACTGTTGGGGGCGAATCATTGGCCCTCACGGAGAGGGCTCGCAACTTGGGCGTCCTCCTGGATTCACGGCTGTCTTTAGAAGAGCACTTGACGGCCATGACCGGGAGGATTTTTCACCAGGTTTGCCTGATCCGCCAGTTGCATCCCTTTCTAGATCGGGACTCCCTACGCACAGTCATTCATGCCCTCGTCACCTCCCGTCTGGGCTATTGTAACACTCTCTACATGGGGCTCCCATTGAGGAGCACTCAGAGGCTCCAACTGGCGCAGAGTGCGGCCGTGCGGGTGGTTATGGGAGCGACGTGGCGTTCCCATGTAACACCTCTCCTGCGCGAGGTGCACTGGCTCCCGGTGGTCTTCCCGGTGCGCTTCAAATTTTGGTTATCACCTTTAGAGCGCTCCATGGCTTAGGACCTGGTTATCTATGGGACCGCCTGCTACCACCAATAGCCTCCCACCAGCCAGTACGCTCCCATAGAGAGGGGCTCTTCCGGGTGCCGTCGGCCAAACAATGTCGACTGGCGGCCCCTAAGGGGAGAGCCTGGAATGAGCCTCGATCTGGAACGAGCTCC